CACGAAGAAGAAGCTGGACCAAGTGGAAGCCGGTCTGAGCAAGTAAATGCAAACCAGACACAGGGAAAAGACACACCAAAGAAAAATAGATCGAAAAAATCATCAAAAGAAGAAGAAACAGAAGAAGTTGAGAGCGAGAAAACAGGTGGAAGTGGCTCCTCACAAGTATTTGAAGGAACTAAGAAAAAGAAAGGTTTCAGGCAGAAATTCAAAAATTTGAGAGAGAGATTTAATTCAAGGTCGAGATCGGGACGAGGAGCTGATAGTAGCGAGGAAGAAGAGGCTGAGGTTTCCAATCCTGGGGATGAAGACCAAGAAAGAGGGAGAAGCAGGGACAATAAATCCAAACAATCCACAGAAGAACATGGAGTTAAAGAAGAAAGCGATAACTCGCCACCGCGCAGAGGTCTTACACACTCTCCACCACTTCGGAGAGACCTTTCCCATTTTATAGTAAGTGCAATTTCGAAGAACTCTGAAAAAAATGAAGAAGGCAAAGAGGAAGAAGAAGAACCTACAGAAGCTGATATTAGAGTTAAGAGAAGTAGAAGCCTGAAAAAGAAACTGATTAATCTCAAACAAAGGTTAGGATCGCGAACACGACCATCTTGGAAAGACAGTAGCGATGAGGAAGTGGAGAAAGATCAAGAAAACGACATCAAAAACAAAAAGCCAGCGGGTAAGGAGAGTCGAGACGAAGATGGAGGAGTGGCTGCTACAAGCGCAAGTGGGTCAGGGAAAGTTGATAACGAAGAAAATGAAACAGAAGAAAAGAATAAACCGAAAGAAAAGAAACAGAAAAAGAAGAAGAAAAAAAAACAACACATCGGGGAAAACGAAGTTGTAGAATTCGTTCTTAGTGAAACGGTCCGAAACATCTAGAGACACATTCCATATCCCTGAAGTCCGCAGTCGAAGTCGATTGAGATTAATGTTTAGATCTGGGAGGGAATTAGATCAGTATGGGAAAAGTATGAGAGAGTATGCAAAATCACAAAAGAAGATTGAAAAGAAGAAGCAAAAGGAACAAAGAAGAGAGGAGAAGAGAAAGAGGGAAGAAGAGGAAGAGAGACTTTATGGGCCGAAAAAGACATATTTCTCGTGGTGGAAGAGAAAGAAAAAAAGAAGGCCAGCCTCAGGAGCCACCTCAGAAGTCGTAGCAGGTGCCTCCTCTGCAGTATCCACTGCACCGAGGTCTTCCAATCCTCATAATGCAGATTGGGAAACAAGCAGTTTGAACAGCGTTTTGAGTGACTCATCATGGCTACGTAGGCTAAGAGAGCACAATGTAAGTTATACTTATCATTTCAAAAGGAAGGTATTCAATATCTGTTTCCTAACCTATTTATTTGCATGGGGGAACACTTGTGGCATCTGGTATCTGCATTCCCCTTTTTACGCTTGCTAAATGTGGAGAACTCCGATTTTAAGTTGATATTTTGAAGCCCGCTTAGATATCCTCCACAGCCAATTTGATTCTAGACTCCCGCAATAAACTCCTAAACAATCTTTTTTTGTTGTTACTGATTAATTATCAATTTATCCATTTCAGAAACAACTCATTTCACACACCATCGATAAGGTAATTGAGCTTTTGTTACAACTTGCAGCAGGGTAGGGGGGGGGGGGGGGGGAATCTAATCTAAATTTGGATCTTATTGTGCCCCATTCAGAGAGTCTACAATGTTAATATTATATTCTTGACATATTAATCAATCTAAAGATAACCCCTCTCGCCAGCCTTGATATTGAGAAACTTTTTCTCTCTATCAATGACTCTGGATTCATCTATGGGGTTTATGAGATCTCTAGGCATTATTTAGTTTGTTTCATGTTATATTTGTTGCAGGATCAAGGATCCTCAAGACACGGTGAAAGAATAAACGAAGCTGTCATACGAGAATATTCCAGAGATCCGGTAAGTTTTCCAATCTTGTATTTTAAGACAAAGAGGAATCGTTTCCTCTGTTGATATCGTAGAATGCATGGCAATGATATGCGCATTTAATCTCATTGATCTAACTGAAAGGAAGACCATACTCAGTTCTCTTTCAAATCATCAGATCTTTTGCTGCATGAAAACACCAAATCAGTATCGTCTCCATCTAGTTCTCATGGCTTAAACGTATTGATTCACCCATTGTAAATCACGTTCTATATCCATTCTTCTTTAGGAACAAGGGCCATCAAGACCCCGAGAGGACTCCAGGAATGCAGAAGCATCGGAGAATCAAAAAATGTTTGACAAAATGATGATTGAACAGTCACCGGAAATTTACAATCTTATGAAGATGTTAAGCAATGGCGGAGGACTCACTATTGACTCCTCCGTCAGGATGTCTCCACAGCTTCAAAAATTATTAGCATCAACACAAGCACAAATTCCCGAAGCTAGCACTTCACAGCCTACCACGTCCCAAGTCCCTGTTCAGCCTACCGAGCCCCAAGTCCCCGCTCAGCCTGCTGCACCACAAACTGGACTGGATGCTGCTGCACAAGCTGGACCTGCTCAGCCTGCTGAACGAAATGGGTTGGCTGCTGCTGCACAAAGTGGATCGGCTCAGCCTGCTGCACCACAAGCTGAAAAAGCTGCCGAACCACAAACATTTACCTATCTGGACGAAGAAGAAGAAAAATTCTTTGCTGATCTAGATATAAGATTATTCGGTGCACCACAAGGTTCAGCTGCTGGTGCACGCCCAGGTGCATCTGCACCCAGAGCTGTTCCACAGCGAACAGCTGCATCTAGGTCCTGGAGTCAAAGAGCAACAGATGCTCGAACTTCTACATCACCCTGCTTCGATCCACCATGGACTCCAACACCTCCTGCTTCTCCAGAACAACCACGGGAGAAAACTGCCAAACAAAAAGAAGATGAAGAACTTGATGTAATGTATCGCGAACTGATTGCTGAACTCGATGAAGTAAGTTAGATTTTCTTATTTTAGATTCATCTAAAGAAGTGAAATGAATGGAGTTTTACGACCTACTTTTCTCCACCATGTGGGCTAATGTAGACGGTATTCTACTACAGGATAGATTCGTTTCAATTTGTGTTAGTCCCAGAGGATAAACTTTTGTTGAAACCTCAAGATTTCCGTTTATGTAGTCACATGAAAATACATCTTATTTGTGACTTAATAACCATTTCATTATTAGTGCTTGCTTTTAATGGCTTTGATTTTTTTTTAGATTGGTGGGATTTAAAAAGTTCAACACACTCGAAACTGATTTGCAGAGAAATACTGGCATGAGATCATGCGATATTTATCCATGTATTTTACCCCTCCCCTACCCTTCCTGTCCTCACCCGTCCCCTCCCCACTTCACCTCCCCCTTTCCCCACCCAACACCTTCCCCACCCAACACCTTCCCCCAAATACTTTTTTGAAAAATTAATGGTAGTTATTAAAGCTACATTTCCTCTTCCTCTTTTTTACACTTCATGGTAGCTTTAATAACTACCATCTTCTCTTCCTCTTTTTTACAATGGTAGTTATTAAAGCTACATCTCCTCTTCCTCTTTTTTACAATGGTAGTTATTAAAGCTACATCTCCTCTTCCTCTTTTTTACACTTCATGGTAGCTTTAATAACTACCATCTCCTCTTCCTCTTTTTTACACTTCATGGTAGTTATTGACGCTAAACCTCCTCTTCCTCTTTCTTACACTTCATGGTAGCTTTAATAACTACCATCTCCTCTTCCTCTTTATTACAATGGTAGTTATTAAAGCTACATCTCCTCTTCCTCTTTTTTACACTTCATGGTAGTTATTGACGCTAAACCTCCTCTTCCTCTTTTTTACACTTCATGGTAGCTTTAATAACTACCATCTCCTCTTCCTCTTTTTTACAATGGTAGTTATTAAAGCTACATATCCTCTTTCTCTTCCTCTTTCTTACATGGCTTTAATAACTACCATCTCCTCTTCCTCTTTCTTACATGGCTTTAATAACTACCATCTCCTCTTCCTCTTTCTTACATGGCTTTAATAACTACCATCTCCTCTTCCTCTTTCTTACATGGCTTTAATAACTACCATCTCCTCTTCCTCTTTCTTACATGGCTTTAATAACTACCATCTCCTCTTCCTCTTTCTTACATGGCTTTAATAACTACCATCTCCTCTTCCTCTTTCTTACATGGCTTTAATAACTACCATCTCCTCTTCCTCTTTCTTACATTTCATGGTAGCTTTAATAACTACCATCTCCTCTTCCTCTTCCCCTTTCTTACATAGCTTTAATAACTACCATCTCCTCTTCCTCTTTCTTACACTTCATGGTAGCTTTAATAACTTCCATCTCCTCCCCCCCCCCTTCCTCTTTGTTACACTGCATGGTAGCTTTAATAAATACCACCCTCTCTTTTAAATAACCGCCACCGACCCCCCCCCCCCCCTCCCCCCTTCTGCCTAACACTCTCTGTGTATAATATATTAAGATCGCCATAAGAAGTATGGATTATGATTTAAAGATTGCGAGTTTGGATAGATACATCACGTCGGTTCTCACCTTGTGATATCAGCATTTACAAGTAAAGTCTTTATCTAAGGAGGTTATGCTTCATACAATGGTAGTTTTAAGATTGAAAGCTATTTGTTTGCGAAGCATATATCAAATATTATAAGATAATAATGATAAAACTTAACTTAAAAGTATCTGTAATGTTAAAAGCCTATGATTATATACCAGTATCGAATATTTTTATTTGTTAATACAGTCTGTATGTAAATATGATTGTACATAAAGATGTTAATGTTATTATTTGGTTCTATTTCGGGCGACCTCTTGTGGGGAAAGAGGACTATGGGGACCATCATCTTTATGCAATGACCCTGAGCATTCACAGGAGAGGTACATTTTACGTGTGGCCTTTGTTGAGCTAATCAAAGCGACAATCTGGATCATGAGTCTATAATGATGATCATGGATCATGGAGATTGGGACCCTTTCACCACTTACTAACGTTCCGACTCAGTGCAAATGAAATGGAAAATTAAGCCAGATCGTGAGTCAATACACCCAACGGATCATGATCAACAGCAAAGCCAAGACTTACCCCGGCAAAATGGCACAAAGCGGCTGCCAAGCCGATTGCCAGCGGTTTACTCCCCAGCTCTCGGCGATTAGGGTCTATGGTAGCGAAGACGGAGAACACTAAGATATACGTAAGAATGGCTTCGATGCCAAATGCCTTCCAGATGTTCAGCCCTGGCATTAAGGATGTGATTGCCATTTGTCCGTGTCCGTGACAAACTTCCGGGGTTATCCTGAAAAGAGAAAAAGTGCAAGTTAAGAGAAAGTATAAGTAAATTCGACACCCCCCCCCCCTCCCTTTAATCCATGAACACTATTTACTTGCATGGCATCCCTATTTAACCACAGGACAGTTCTTCCCAATCAGGACAGTCCCCTCAATAATTAGGAAAACCCTCTCTAATAAGGACTACCACGCCAGACCTTTTTAATCAAGACAGTCCCCTCAATCAGGACACCCCTCTTTAAAAGGATCACCGCTCTTTAATCAAATAATCCAAAACAATGTAATAAAAGCTGATTTGAGCTGGCTGAACACGAAAAGATGATTACATCAAATCGGTGATGTTATTTGTTCTCACACGAGTCCGCAATAAAGCCGACAAGTGAGTAATAGGATTTGATTGGCAAGCGACACATCCGTAATTTGATACGATTTATTAGCATGTCATTTCGCATCATGACATGGACGAGAACGGTTCCACGAGCTATCATTCTCTACGATCGCTTAATGAGATTAATACGTCTATGTCCACACTGCAGAAAAACTACCCGCTTCATTTGTATAGACATGTAGATGTTAACGGTTCGGTAACTTAATTTGCAACTCAGAATCAAAGCAAAACCTTAAAGCATAACACTTATTTTTTTTTTCCAAACGACCACTTAATAAAGTTAATACTATGTCCATACTGTCGACCGACAAACACAAAAATGTAATTTGCACCTCGAAGTCAATACAAAACTTTAAATTACCATCTTTTTTTGTAACGACTACTACAGTAATCTCCTAAGAACTAAAATCTAACACAACCGATCAACATGCCAAACGACAAGATTAATATTCTGTCCTACTGTCGAATGGTTACATTTATGGCCATTCCTTCCATTTACATATTGATGCTAATGGTTTTATAGCTGTAAATGACACCTTGAAGTCAATACAAAACCTTAAAGCATCACCCCTTTTTGTTAACAACTACAACAGTTAGATCCTAAGCAATAGAATTTACCGCATATTCATTCGTTCGTTCATTCTGACCCAATAATGATCATTATCAAACACTGCCAGAAATTCACTTTCCATAAAAATACAATTAAAGAATGATTCGTCGTCACAATATCGATAACATATTCATGAGGCCAATAATTGAGGGCAATACTTCATATCATTCTCTTACTGATAATAGCAGAAAATCGTATTTAATGATTGGAAATATGGTTTCTCGGGAGATTCGATATGCAGGTCATTGCTCTAGGTCTAGCAACTCCTGAGAGCATCAGTTGACCCATTCTCTTACAGGGAATTACCCTTAAACGTAATGCTAGATGAAGAAATCTGGTATCTCGGGAGATTCGATATGGAAGTCAGTGCTCTAGCGATTACTGCGAGTATCTCATTCTTTTAAAGGGTGTAATTCTTAAACGTTTATTGATCACCAGTAGCATATAGCGGTAATAAATTTCAAACGCAACTCTCAACCGAGTTGTTAGTTGCGTTCGGTTCTTATGACCACTTTCATTATTCACAACCATACACAACTTGTAATCGCTATGGCGTGAGGGCACCTTAAGATAACTTGCAAGAATCTAGTGTCAATTTTTCGACCGTATGTTAAGCCGCTGTGACATATGGCTCGCTTTTTTCCCGTAACCCCGTGCTTGTCACTGGAATTCTTCTTTCCGAGTTTGTTTCGATTTCTTATCTATTTCCATTGAATGGTACGACGGCACAAAATTGATATTAATATTTAACGTCGTTTGAAATATTAGAATGTCGCCGCTGATTAATTATAAAGTCAACACAAAATCTTATAATTTTATCATTCTTTTTTACCAACACCACTGGGACGGTAAAGGAAAGAGTTTATATATTTATCTTGACAGTTATCATTATTGTGCATCCATTGTATTTCTTTAGCATTAATATCAAAGGCCATATGTGACGTATTGTTTCCATATATATCAACAATTGATAGATGCTATCTGCATATCAAAATATCGCTAGTTCTTGCCTAAAGCTATAGAAAGAGTAATGTTTGATTTTGTTTACTTCTTGGGTATCTCTGGGGCTTGTATATTAGTTAATTATCTAAATCGACCGAAATAGTGCAGCTCCGTAATCATTCATTTTGGCGATTGTCATAACACATTCGAAGTACATATGGTTTGCTCCTTTGCATTGTCTTCATCCAGAAGTTCATTTGCAATACATGTATTAAACCGAATCATACATGACTATCTTATGCCTTTGCTTCCTTTGGATTGAACATTGATTTACAGTACACATTCAAACATTAGGATACTTTAAGCGTAATTTGGTATATTCGTTCATGGGCATTTATACAAGGAACAAATGTTTTAACGTCAAATTTCAATAGCTATTTTTCTATAATGGTCATTTCAATAATACCAGTGTATATATCAGCCAGACGAAGTAAGACATCAATAACAACTTTACAAGCTAAATTAATGATAAAAAATTACGTTAGAGCACACGAAAATATCATAAAACTCTCATCCATCAAAGCCTTAATTCTATTTCAATACTTTAAGTGAATAGTTGGCATGGAACAATCGATACGCTTTATTGAAAAACACGTTACGTTAAGTTGATTATTATGTAAATCGTGACAATCAAGGGCAATAACTCAAGAAATATGCAGCAGAACATGCAATTATAATTAAGAAAAACTAGAGGAAAGAAAATCGACTTAACAGATTGATATGCATATTTAATGACCGTCTTGATACAAAGACAATATTGTGGCATAACTCACGTTTAACAGTTATTCGTGTTTTATTCGTGTTGTATTATTCACGATACAATCATTATTCAACACAGAAAAAGAAACGAACTGTAGAAGACGATAACGAAATAAATCTGTGAAAAAGAGAAAATGTGGGAGTCATTAAATTTATTGGTTAGATAACCGACATGTACCCATCAAAGTCACAAAAAAGAGCCAAGAGGGGAAATGGTCTATGGTGTTAAGTTGCAGTAATGGAATTGGTCGGATGTCAGAATTTACTTTTAGGGGGGCGATCCATTTTTTTCAGTGGAACATTTGTTCCCTCCTTGCCTCTTCAAAGTTCTTTTTAACCTCCCCTCACGGTACTTGTTCGATACCGGACTCGTGCAAGTCATAGAAAAACGATATCTGCAAGAATACCGGCAATGGTGTATGGTGTTAAGTTGGAAAATGGAATTGGTCTGTTGTCAGAATATCTTCAGGGGGCAATCCATTTTTCAGACCCCCCGCCCCGCCCCCCCTTGTTTCCCTCCCACCCCCCCACCCTACGGGCCTGTTAAGAGTACAACCAGATCTTGACAAACGATCATATCGGTTATTAAATAACGAAAATCATATGTTAGAATCGAGAATTATGGCAATATCTTGCATATCCATCAACACGCCAGTGAATGTTCGGTGTAATTTTAGTCATTCTCAACAGTTGCTCGTAAAATGTGAGTTTATATGTTTGCCAGTTGTCAAAACATTAATAGAAAGTAGCTGCTATTTTTACAATGCACCCAATATGTTCTAGTATCCTTAACATTAAGTAGAAAACAATGCTACTGATGAACGAAGAATTTAAGGCTTGTTTCAGTTCTGACGTTTTTGAGGTAGATTTAGATATTCCTTAAAATGCGCATGCTGTATCGCATCATTTGACCAATTAAATGGGTACGGATAATCCGGGTAAGATCAATGCCAAGAGGTTTGGCCAAGGATCAGCTGGTAGAAAGGATCCTTAACTGTGAATCTAAGCTGTTATCCTTAATATAGTTGTTTCTTTTTCTTTCTTTCTTTAAGCTAGCTGGTAAAGTAAATATGAATGGAAAAATATATCCTTATAAAACCAACATCTTATTTGACTGCTGAACCAATATCAATACAAAATATATCTCTTATAGTAAAACCAATGACAACTCTTCAAAAATAATTCAGTTTCACGTAAGGTAAGTGGAGAATAATTCAAATAAAACCAATGACAAGCTTTCCACTTATGTTGAATAACGAATTGGTTCGTAGAGCGAAATTCATTCATCAGTGCTCGGCTCATTTAGCCTGAAAGACAACATTGATCTACCATGTGGTAAAAGTGGTGAGGACTGGCAGTAAACATATCGGTGAATGAGTGGATCTCAATGGAGCCTGACTAATACTTGAACACAAATTAATGTTTGATTATGACAAACGAGATGGCAATGGAGGCGATATTGTGGTGAACTTGTACATGAATTGGCATTTCATGTTCTACTGTTCTGTACCAGTGGCGGAGCTAGGTTGATGTCCCATGGGGTGGGCGAAATATCTGAGGGAAAATTTACCCCTAAACCCTTTTAGGACAGGACATGGCCAGCCTGTCGACTTTCGGATCGTTAGTAGGGACGACATGAGTTTATAAATACCGAGACAAAAAGTGGTTGAATTTCCAACTAAAAGACGAACTTGAGTATAAATAACAACTAGCCAGATGTAATTCAATTGTAGACAATAGAACTAGTGAAACGCTGGAGGCAAGATGCTGCCAACTCGAGATAACTCAATTGGTCACATTAACAAGGGATGTAGTGCTGTAAATGACAAGGGCTCGTCTCATACTGTGGATATGCTTTGAAGATGAATTCTTCGACTGGACAGTCGTCCTCACACTCAATGTCAAGCTATTATCAACTTCGTCTTGTACACAGTTCGTAATAACTTGAGATTGGGAAGATGCTGGACAGCAGGTCTGGCAATAAAGTTCAAAATTCGGACGTGACATGGCGTGAGATGTGAGCTTGTAGGATATAATTACAGCTATTCATTTTTAGAAAAAAAAATCCGACATAAAACGTTTGAGTTTTTCTGAAAATGCTACAGTAGACCAAAATCCTTCTCAGCCTTTCATCAAAGCGAATATAAGAAGACAGAATACCTTAATTTCGTTTCACCAGTCTTTCTTGAGGAAATGTCACGAAAAAACGTTCTTTTGTCTGATCATTCTATTCTTAACTATTTTCCGTTTTAAACGCCAAGTTTCGCTGGAGGCTTTGATACAATTATACGTCTGCTTTTTCTATAATGCCCACTTATCTGTCGCCCATTGCTCGAAGCACTAACTTGGTCAATAACCCACGCCGTTTCTTGGTAATTCAAATTTTGTTTCTTTGGTATTTCTTAAATTGTATTGATGGAACTATAAGTGTAAAGAAAATCCGAAAATATGCTCAAAAGTCAACACAGAATCTTTGTTACTGTCCTTCTTTGCAAAACTTACAATAGGACAATTCTAAGGAAAAGTTTCACATCATTACAACCGACAGAAAGAGATGACAACTTCGATTTTTGCAAGACATATAGACTGAACATAATCTGCATAGATTAAACAGCGTTCTGGTGCATCTATCCGTCTTCCTATGCACTTTAAATATGCACATCGGTTTACGGAGCTTCCCACTGGATAATGACTGACTCTTAAAAAAGTAAATGCTCTCTTGTATTTCAGAGTTACAACTATTCGTTTCCAATTTTACGTTTGAAACAAATTTCCTGAAAACATTCAGTAAATCATTCTACTAGAAGCAACATATGTTACAGTTTTTATCATCCGTTAACTTTTTGTGTATCGAAAATAGCTCCATGGAGAAAGATAACATGTTTTGTGTTATTGTAAGAAGCCGAAATCTTCAAGCTTAATATCAGCGAATTAGTCAAACAGAAAAAAACTGCTGTTAATCGGTGCAAATATTGAGAATTTTCTATACACTCTGACTGCAGAAAATACAGTTATGCCAATCATCTGAAAAAGGAAGAAATTAAGCGACAAAGTTAAATGATAGTTTTGTATCTTCCTGGTCCATTCTGGTCACAGAAATCTGCCAGTATGGTATTCATTCACTGTTTTGTCAGCTAGAATTGCACACGATATGTCGTTTCGCCAGTCAATACACGATCTTGAATTCCAAGCACGAGTAATGGATACCCCAGATATTTGCCATCCATTTCTACAAAAGTTAAGCTAATCTGTGATAAAGCCTAACATTATGGTAATAACGTTAAAAAGACTTTTGTTATTCTGGACACGTAAAGTTAATATTATAACTGATGTTACAAATTGTCGAGGAAGAGTCTCGGTATATCGGGTCCCAGTGGTATTTCCAGATCACGGGGCACTTACTGTGTTCATACCAAACTAAGGGCAATTAATGTATATCAATTGGTCGAGTAACTGGTCTATCTAATATCCAACAGTTCCAATTTGTAAATGAAGCATTTGTCCCAACAATTCTCTCGATTTGAGAAAATCGAGCCCTCCCTTGAAAAATAGAAATTTATATTTTGGCACTTCAACAATTACAAAGAATTTCTGACAATTTTTGACAAACGGGAAAAGATTAATTAGACACGTCTACAAGTTTGTTATGCTTAGTTAGATACAATTCAAACCAATTACCCCCCTGTACATCAACTGAATATTTCACGTAACCATCGACAAGATAGACTGTCTATTCCCGGGGTATTTCTGGCAGTTGATTTGTTAGGTCTTCAAAATAAGAACTGCAATTTATTGAAATCATAGAAATACACCCTGAATTTTCTGAATTTATTTTGTGAAAAGATGCAACGAGCTACGAAGTGCAACTACCCACTTCCTGAAAGCTCGTCGTTGAAAAAAAAAAGCTTCGAGTACTCACCCGTAAAGAAGAGCTGCCCCGGCAACACTGCCACCACATTGGGCAATGGAGTACATAATTCCTCGTAATGGAGTCACTTTACACGTCAACACCATAGCCAAGCTCACCACGGGGTTAAAATGAGCCCCTGAAATGTGTCCGAAGCACTGCACCAGTGTCGCTAGAGTAAATCCAAAGCACAAGGAAACGAGTACGATTTGGTTCGTAGGATCCATGGTAGTGCCGCACGAAAGAGTCGAACTGCATCCAAGAAGCACATATAACATTGTTCCTAGACATTCGGAGATCACTGCTCTCCAAAACTCGATGGTACGAATTTCCACCCGCATAACCATTCGCGCCACTTCGCATAAACCCAACTTCCGGTAGTTCCTTTGCGGAAGTTGGCCGCTGTTCACGTGAGAGTAATACGTCATGTTGGGTAATTTTGGACGTAGGGAAAATGCTGCTTTGTGTTCGTTGTCTTCTTCATTCAGGGTCAGGGGAAGCTGGGACATGGGTAGGGATAGTTCAAGGGAGGGTCGGGAATGTCTCTGAGAGTAACCCTCGGAGCTAGAAATTTCAAACCATTGCGAGAAAAATTATTCCATAACGAGCTAGTTTATTTTGATATTTTTGGGAACTGCTTCAATAGTTTGAGCGTATGCTTTACCAACCACTTATCCAGGTAGAAATGAAATGAATGGAGTTTTACGTCCTACAGTACTGCACCTTATGAGCTAATGAAGACGGTGAATCCATTAAGAGATCTCCAATGTGTTCTTTTTATAATCTTATACAATTTTGCTGCACTGCCTTCTCTCCTTTCCCACAAATCACTAGTTGTATTCCTTAATGGCCTAGAGTAATCACTTAGTAAGGTCCTATTTTCCAGAAAAATCGTCAGCAATGTCAGGTTTAAAACCATGTATTAAATATTTTCACTACATGAAGCTTTAAGGCAGTGGTTCTTACAATAGACATTAGTTTAACGGCATTTATCGCTTTACAATAAAAATCTCGAGTACTTGTAATCCTTCAGAGATCTGCATGCAAGTGGTTTTATAACTCTGAAAGAAAAAGAATATAGAGATTAAGCACGATATATAAAGTTGAAGGCCAGTTAAGATCGAGTAAAGTGGGATTTTTTTTCATAAATTTTGACAGCAGAGCTAACACAGAACACTGCCACCGCGCACATTCAACAGAATTGCTACCCACCAAAATCTAAAAATCACATTACAACCGAGGCACACACGCTAAGCCCCTATATTGCCACGGAAGGTAACTAACTCTGCTGACGCTCGTCACATTTGAGCCCCTTTATCGTAACCCACGAAACTTGACAGGTACCGTACAGAACTTAGAGAACTCTTCTGACACACCCAGTCGAATCTCACCCACAAAATTTCACTGATACACACCGAGGCATTTAATTTAACTACTACTGAATGTACCATTCTCCGGTAGTCCAGTGTCACAATTCTACTAGTACTTATACCGGTCTTTACTAAACGACAAACCCAGTGGAATTCTCACAGATCGAAACTTTCTCTGCTAGATTAGTATCACAATTCTACTGGTACTTATACCGGTCTTTACTAAACGACAAACCCAGTGGAATTCTCACAGAACGAAACCTACTCTAGAAGGATCATAATTCTATTGTACTGGTACCTTTACTACAAGAACACTGGCACCGAACTCGACTGGCACCGAACCTCAACAAGCACCGTGCTTAACAATCAATAGGTTTAGAGAGATGAGAATTACACGCTTCGATTACTAATAACAATATTGTATGGAGTTCGTCTGAAGCAATCATAAAATGTAGCCAATCAAACGCATTTCGGTAGTAAAAAAAGATATGTTTTATAACTGTATATTTGTACAATACGTTTAAACAGTTGCAGTATTTTCAGTTAGAAATTGAAATCTTTACAACTCCCTGACAAGTGTTTACTTAACTGTTCAGTTTCTAATGTGCAACTTAAGTCTTTGTTTATCAGCGCCAATCGGAAATCTAGTATTCAATAGGAGAGATCGGCCATGATGTCATAGATGTGGTTTTCGTATCGCATGATGCACAACTTTTAACAGTTGTAAGAGTGGTTTGTCCTACCAATTGTCCTACTTGAGTCATGCATGTGTTCTATTTTTAGCATATCACGGCTACGCTGATTTATCCAATGGACAATCTTAAATCCAGTGTTCGCTGACTAGTGCTAAACCTACTGTTATTTGGCCAATCTAGTGTTTAATCGGAAACCTGGTGTTTACTGGTCAATCTGAAACTCAGTGTTTACTGGTCAATCTGAAACTCAGTGTTTACTGGTCAATCTGAAACTCAGTGTTTAATGAACAATATAAAACCTAGTGCTCTATAACCAGTGAAAAACATCTATATGTCTTTTCAATCGGAGGTCGACACATAACTCGGAAGAGCTGTTTGTAGAAGAACAATTTTGTATGTTCTAACACGTCTTGCGCCCTCGTCCAATTTGTAATATACTAGTGAAATAAAGTTCGCAGACAAATTAAATTATTTCTGATTCCAAACAGAGCGGAACTCATATTGCCCATAAATATCAACTGCCATAATTGATGAATGTTCTGGAAGCACAAAAATGACATCTTGGCACCAAACACTGTCTGTACGCAATCGATACAATAGACCAGGTTTCAATTTCAGTAAACGTCACTTATTATCGTAATGCATTTGACAAATTAGGTTTTTTATTAACATATTTTACTGTCACATTTGAGAAAAATTGCTTCCTTCTGTTATGTACGTTTTTTGGCTAATGTAGAAAGATGGCTTCCAGAGTAAGATATCGATGAGAAATGTTACGTGGGCAGTAACCTTGGTGCAAAATTTCTTAATTTTGAATCATCGTTAACGAGTTCAAACTGTATCGCATGAGTCTCCGATTTTTCGTCCTATGTAGACCCTTTTCCAGACAGTACATCCAGGGGGACACAGGGTTGAAAAGGGTAAGTCCCTTCTGTTTCGATTCTCGAGCGATACTGTAGATTGAACCAAGAGACACCACAGCCAGTCGACTCATTTTTACCAACCGGAAGGTGGTAAAGTAACCGCCAATACCGAACCAACCAACGATACCAAAAAACCAGACCAATGAAGTGAACAGTATCATTTGTATCAAGTGGTCGATATAACTGTCATTCTATTTCCTCATAGGAATAAAAATGTCTTTGATATCTGCCCGATAACAATCTCCAACAAACAAACATTAAGTGTCTGACCATATGTTACACCAGTGAATGTATCAGCTCTCATTTTCCTTTGAACGGAGATCATCTTTACATGTTTTTGTATGTCAATCATTTTTTAACGATGCCGTCTACACGAGCGTGAATGTAAACAAATATCAACTTTTTGTTTGGCATTTTTAGTTACACTGGTCTGTGCTCTGACGGTTGAGTTCACCTGATTTATGAAAAGAGCTTCACTTTATACAAACAGACAGTGGTGTATTCGGGCTGTAATTGTTTGGGCATGCCCCTCCACCCTCGGCCCATAAAAAATTAGAACAAATATTCTACTTTCACCTCCTGAATTTATTCTCCGGCTTCCAGTATTAGAAAATTTCCCATTGAAACAAACAAAGTAATGGAGCATATATAACAGAACACGAATCCAATTGTTATTCTGGGCGATTCTTCACGGCTTATAAATACCAACATGTCGACCAAAGTGTTAACTATGATTTATGGTTTGTTAGAACACCATACCAGAAACAAAATACTTCATCCTAAGTCATAGACACTGTTGAGAATCAATTGATCTTTGACCAACTTAGGACTGGCATGTCTGTAATTGAAATAGCGTTTTACGCCCGAAGATCAAGTATTTTTTTTATCTTTTTTTGTGAAGCGGAGGTAGAAGTGAAAGATTTCCTTCTGTGGTAATCTCACATAAAGTTATACGGGGGTTTATATCAACTGACTCAGACGTGAATGACTTTTCTTTCGTCTGTGTTAGTCTCACAAGAATTGATATTGGTTGTCTTACATCAAGTTAAGGAATGTCTGAGAAGTGATGGACATTTCTTTCTTCTCTGGTAGTCCCACATGCAGTGATATGATATTTTAACTCTGAAATTAAGTGATTGGTGGAGCTTAGAACGTAACAGCTCATTCTGATCACAGATAACTGTTATGAGGGAGGGGTTCTCTAAGATACAGATACTTTGTGGAACCACAAAAGATATTGGGAAGACCAAAGATCAGCTGATGAAGCGGAGAGTATCTATTCATCTGTGGGAGGGGTGGCGATCCCTACCCTAAATTCTCCCCTATCCTGGAAAGGATACATTCTAGTGTGTTACAGACAAGGCAGTTTCCTACCCCATATCCGCCACTCCACATCCTTTTTAGTCTTCAACCTCCGTTATATCATGTAAGTATATCACACAAAATAATCGATTCAGACTTCTCAATTTGTACAATTCCTCCGGAGAGGAATCAAATTATTCAAATGGAAACTTTCATTTCCCTCGGATAACAATCTTAATCCCTCTTCAAAGACTGCCTCGACTCTCGGATCCAGATTTTGTCGGCGAAGTTCAAAGAAAGGATTAAGGTAAGCCGTAACCTTCCAATGGAGTGACAGAATTAAAACCTTACGTCGAATTCACGTCTCGAAGTAAACTGTTAAATCTCTGATTGAAACTTCAAGAAATTCGATAAACTTAACGAAGCTAGGATCGTTTTGTAACCGAGTGTTGGACGATGTGTGTTTCAGATATAGAGTCTTTATCAACAGTATAAAACACAAAAAAAAGAATGGAACTATGAGTTATGTTAGACTCTTAGGGAAGTAGACCGAGTTGACTAACAAATCATCAGGTGACATCAGGTGAGAGATTAATATGGCGAGATATTTCCATAAACGCCTCCGAAAGAACCTAATCGGCTTCCTGAGGCCTAACATTTAAATTTGAAAAAAATCTTGGCTTCGTGATTTTGACATTTTGTTTGATAAATAGGTCTGTCTCGAGGGCAAGAGCAATTTATCAAGCGTGAACGAATTAAGTGACATTAACTGCGTACATCGACTCAATATGAACAAATGATGTTTATAATCAGAAGACAGTTGTACTAGATGGGGATGGTCTATGAGCATGGACTCAAAATGAACAAATGGTGATGAAAACCAGATAACAGATGTAGTAGGTGGTTATGGTCAATGAGCATAGACTCAAAATGAACAAATGGTGATGAAAACCAGATAACAGATGTAGTAGGTGGTTATGGTCAATGAGCATAGACTCAAAATGAACAAATGGTGATGAAAATCAGATAACAGATGTAGTAGGTGGTTATG